CCTATGCTCCCTACTACGGACGTTGCAAATATTCTAGTGCGATGGCTGCTTGGCCGGCAAGGTTGCAAAACGAGCTATTTCACCCTCTCGGGTCCTTGAAAACGACGGTTTGTTAGTATTCCCACAACCCTAGCAAAAATAGGAGCGCGAGGCCTTACATCAATGAACAGAGTCGTTATGGTATGGCAAATGTGAAAACAGAAGAATAAAATTGGACAAACACAATGATAAGAAGAGTATTGCACTCACAACGAATAGGAGAATCAACCAGTAGAACAGCACTAAGAAAATCTTCTCGTTGAACATATTCAACGACAGCACACATTGCACAGAATATCGCTGCAGATTTCCTTTATTTCGCACCTTAAAATAACGCTTCAGTGGGACTTAGCGAGATTTCCAAAGTGAATTGACCTCAAAGTCGCACATGGTCGATCTGGGGAACAGTCCAGTTGCTTTCCAGTCGGTGTTGAATCCGAGTTTCAGGTCTGAAAGGTAAGAAAATGCTCGAATTACTAGCTCTATAATACCAAAACAGTGAAGATTCAGGTAGTACAGATATAGTATAGTACTGTAAGCACTTTGCTGTTAAGAAAAGGTAGTTATGCAATCAGTCCACCAAGACTGAGTTCACCTCATAAGCTAGATGTGCTGTAAGGTCCAATAGTAAAGGAGCGTTCCTCTAATTCCTAGTGAAGAAACTCACGTAGAAGGTCTCCCCAATCGAAACCAAGGAAATAATGAAGGATAAGAATTTGTAAGGCGGCATTCACGACGAACATAAGTTTCATCAAGATGTAATTGAACGACATCCATCCATCAACCATCAGATTCCTTCAAAGATCATCATCATCATCACTTGTTCTTCGTAAACTAGTAAGCACAACAACTCACTGCCAAAGACTGCCGACGTTTTTATAGTTACGATGTGTGGCGCGATAAATGTGATTGGCGATTTTCTCGATCCCTTCTTGTCGCTTCTTAATTCGGAAGTGTCACTGCTATTCCGTCTATGTCAAAAGTACACTGCACGTATGCACAGCGTTTAGAGCTTCATTCCACAGCTAATGTCAAAAAGTTTTCTAGAGACACCTTCCACAGTCGTCGCAGGGGCGGAGCCGGGCATACAGTTGCGCCTTTCAATGTTGCGGCCATACTACTATAGAATGGCTGAGGAATGAGGAAGGTGACGGGAAGGCAGAGTGGTGGCCGGCTCCATCCACACAACTTGTGTGAAATGTGTCTGTGCCTGTGTCAATACGAAAATCGTTTTGAAAACTTTTAGCTACTGCTGTACCAACAAGCTAGGTTCCTTACCGCGACGTCCTCCTTCGGCAACTCACAACAGGCTTTGACAATGGCTCGCAGTTGGATTCCTGAAATCCTCCATAATCATTTCAACAATATGTGTAACCGTGATCCCTGCCAACAATAGAGCGTGTAAAAGGACGTGAATTGAAGCCCATTCAGGGCAGCTCTTGTTGCAGAATCAGCGTGGCATCATTGGTGGGAAAGGCAGGCGAGGCTGCGTTCCAGCCACAGCCTCATCACACGCCCCATAGACTGCAGGTGAGGTGACTGAACCAATCACAACACCCAATGGGAGTGTCGCTCTCCAGAGATTCTTTTTGAACACTTTGCTCATTCCATGCACTCTGTATGTCAACTATATTTATTGTCTGTCCTTTAGTTGGCAGTTACAATAACCTAAGTGAATCCTTCGCCCTTTCCCCCATGTGTACTTTGGGCAAGTGACCGTGCCAAATGTAAAGGGTCTTGTAGTAACTGGAAGCGCCATGGTATAGCTGCAATAAGGCCCTAAAAATAGGGTCAAGAGTCACTCGGACCAACTCGATGTTCCTTACCTTTCAGCTCTCTAGGATCATCAGAACAGCTTTCGTGCAACGCTGTTGGCGCAGTGAGAATCGGGCCGTTCTACCACTTTTAGTGAAGGCCATATTCCGCGTTTATCGAGCAGGCAGAGACGAAGCTCCACCTCATTAAATGGTTCTTTCCTCCTAAGTCATTCAAAGTACGGGTGCACCAATGAAAAAGGCATCATGGTCCTCTTCCCCCGCCCATTTTGCGCCCATGAGGTTAGCGCTAAAGATGACCTCAATTCTGCCTGGTGTCCGTTTAAAGTCAGATTTTCTACAGAAGTGTGTGGTTGAGCTGATCCTAACTGGACTTTCTGACAGATTAATGCTTCCAGCATTCACTAGCCGTGCACAAAATTCACTTCTGTTTTCAGCGATTATAAGGGAAAGCCGTTTGTATGGCGCCCTCCAGCACGATCGACCATAGACAGGGACATTGTCAGCGCTTTTTTCAACCCTACGTTATCCATCATCGAAGGAAAAGTTCTGATGACATGAGAAACCAACCTGACCACCAGTTTACCGACCTCCAATATACATGCGGTAAATAGAAGCAAAACGCTAGCAATACCAAAACGAATTGCACCCACTAAATGATGACATTTATTTACAATTTACCAATATAATCAACAGAAGGAAGCTAAGAACGGTAAGTCAAAGCAAACCTGATAATATGGCAGTTCAGCTTTTTCTCGATAGGCAAGGCTTGGCATATTTGGATCGTTCATCGGTATGTAGTAAGTATTTTCTATCAAGCAATAGTCCCTAGTGTATTCAACCCAACCTGAAATTCATCCAAAATTGTTGCTGGAAAAAACGTCGGAAAATGGGAGTGTCTTACCTCCTCGGAACTCTGCAGGTGTCCAGCAAATAATTGGTGTGCCCATGTAAAGCTGAAAATACGATATTCCTTTTCCAATATTTTAGCGCTTTCATTCAAGTTTTGAAGCGACAACCGCCGGTAACCCAATCATCAGAAAATCATGAGGTTCTTTGTTCTCCTCACTCCCGAGAGCTCCAGCAAGGGAGTCGTATGTGGTAGCCGTGCGAGGGGGGGGTCGTTTTTTGATAGTTGATTTTTCGTGTATCACGGACCCCACTCACATCGTTGGGAGAATTACAGAGGAGGGAGGGGGGGGATCGTATTGGCTTGCATTCGGGAGAAGGGGCCGTTCGTTTGCGCTGTTTCTTCGAAAGGAAAATCTGTTGCCTTCTTTGCGGTTTCTCCTTCACTGGTAATCCTCCCCGCTCAACGGCTTCCCTAAAAGAGAAACTATACACTCACCTTCGAACGCGGCCCTTGCCATGTGCAGATGGGTCCGAAGCTGCAGTAGCGTGCATCTTTCTCCGATTAAAAGTGCACGGTAGAGGGGCTGTAGGGTAGTGGCACCTGAGTGCCATCTTTATAACCTCACCCGCGCTATCCTCAAGGTGCAGTACTTGTATGCACACCAGAATCCCACAGTCAACACGAACGACCAGCGGTAAGAGGGTGCAGACAATTAGGGCGTTCACACTTCGCGATCGCGCGATCGGGTCTCTCGAGTGGATCGCGTGATCCAGTCTAGCGATTCCGACTGGGGACGCTTCACCCCAAACGGTGCACCGATGCAACGACACTTTTAATTGACACTGCGTAAACGTAGCCCAGTTCGAATTCTGCTGTTGCCGCGCTGCACCTTTAGTGATGGAGCGCTTTTGGTCGAGATTGCTCGACTAGGTCGCGCGATCGCGAAGTGTGATCAGCACTCAGGCAGCGTTCATACTTCGCGACAGCAGCGGCGATCGTCGGTACGTGGCAGAGCGCGCCCCAACGCTATTATGGACTGCTCGCTTGATAAATAAGGAAATCC